ATTAAATTCCTTACATATTTAACTCTACACTTCTGGAATTTCTATTTTGTTCCCCTGGTCTCTCTACTTATATGCCAAAACCATATAGTTTTAGTGACTGAGGCTTAATGACATATTTTAATATATAATACCAAAAATTTAATATCTAATACATAGTCCTTTTTCATCAGTCTTTTTCAGAGGTATCTAGTTCTTCTTGCTTGTTTCCTTTTTCATATGAACTTCAGAATTAACTTGAATAGTACCAGAAAAATATATATATATATATTTTTTTTTTTGGATCATGTTAAATTTATAAATTAACCTGGAGAGAACTGATATGTTTATAATGTTCAGTCTTTGTATCAAAAAGATGTTATGTCTTACCATTTGTTCAACTCTACTTTTGTGTCCTTCAGGAGTTTTAAAAGTTTTTGTCTGTAAGTGTTGCACATTTCTTAGTTGGTTTATTCTAGATACTTTTTCTTTGCTGCTATTGTAAGTGAAGTCTTTTCCATTATAACTTCCAACTGCTGTTGTTTGGACATATAAAAAATATTAATTTCTATAGATTAAGTTTTCCTTGCTGAATTTTCCTACTGTTTGTAAGTTCCTCGGTTGATTATTTTAGGTGTTCCAAATATATAATCATGTCATCTGCAAATAAAGATGGTTTTATCGCCTTCTTTCCAATTATCTCCAATTTTTTTCATTTGTATAATTGTTTTAGCTAGTACCTTCAATGCTATGTTAATTAGTAGTATTTATAGTGGGCATCATTGTCTTGTTTCTGGTTTTAGTCAGAATAAATACTTGTGTTTCCCTACTAAGTATGATATAGCTGAGTTGGATATAGCTGATNGATGTAACATATTAAAAATAGGGCTATAACGAACTAGTGATAAATGCTTTTGACTAATTTAGATAAATTTAATATTATAAAAAGCATTTATTTCAAAAGATATTCAGTTTGTAATTTTAAAATCAAGATGTCTAAACACCATATAATTTAGAAAAACATAATCAAAGCCCAAAGGGGAAACTCAAAAAGTTGAATTGTAAAATGACACAACCCCTTTGGAAATCAGTTTTGGCAGTTCCTTAAAAAGTTAAACATAGAGTTACCATATGACCAGCAATTCCATTCCTAGGTATTACCTAAGTGAATTGAAAACATGTCAACAGAATAACTTGAACATGAATATTCATAGCAGTATTACTCATACTAGCCAAAAAAGTAGAAACAACCCAAATGTCCATCAACTGATGAATGGATAAACAAAATATAATATATGCATACAATGGAATATTTGGCCATAAAAAGGAACAAAATCCTGACATATTCTACAACACAGATGAACCTTAAAAACATTACTCTAAATGAAAAAAAGCAAGACACAAAAGACCACATATTGTATGATTCCATTTATATGAAATACCCAAAACAGGCAAATCCATAGAGATAGAAAGTAGATTAGTTATGGGTGGAGAGAGACGGAAATTGGAAGTGAACACTTAATGTGTACAGGATTTCTCTTGGGGGCAATGAAAATGTTCTAAAACTAGCATGATGATTGCACAATTCTGTGAAGATACTAAAAACCACTGAATTGTATGCTTTAAGAGGGTGAATTTTATAATATATAATTAAAATATATAATATAAATGTAATATATTATATGTAATTATATGTATTATGGATTATAATTACATATAATATATTATAATTATAATATAATCCATATTCCATAAAAGTGGAGCATATGAATTATATCACAGAAGTTACTTTCTTTTAAAAAAAAGTAACTTGGCCTCTCTAAGCATTAGTCATTCCATATATAAATAGCTTTTCAAAATTCATCTTTTTTAGGTAGTCTCCTTTGATTGCTTTTTTTCATAGATGAGTGATTAGCAGGAGAACTAGGAGAATATACTGTTATTTAAAAAAGCAGTATATTGAAGGAGAGAACAATCATTATTAACAGATAAAACATTGGTTGCAAAAGTGTGGTCCCTAACTGGAAGTAGCAGCATCACCTGAGAACTTTAGAAATGCAGGCCCTACACTTACTCAATCAGAAACTCTGGAGGTGGGGTCCAGAAATCCGTGTTTTTAACAAGCCATAAAATCTGAGAACTATTGAGATAAAATAAAGGAGTCCAATAAGAGGAGGAATAAAGGTGTTCTGATACTCACTGGATTTGGCAATTGAGAAGTCAATGACACTCTCCATGAAAGTATATTAACTTAAGCAGTGAGGACAAAGGCATAATCTTTCAGGTAGGGAATATTTGGGAAATGAAAAAATGTAGTATGATTCCCCTTGCATTCTATTTTTTTTTTTTTTTCATTTTTTGCCTAGGCAAGAGTCTTTGCTTGGCTATTCGTGATGATACTGTTGGTTTGGGTTTTACTGTCTATTTTAACTCTTATTTCTTGTTCATTGAATAACTGTTTAACTTCATTTTAGTTTGCTTGGGGTTTTTTTTTTTTTTTTAACCTCTTCACAGGGTAAAGGAATTGATTATGAAAGGAGGACAGTTATAAAAGTATTCCCTGCACCAAATCAGGAAGCTTACTGTCTACTTTTCCCTGGATATCTCTATATAGTACATCCCATGATCCACATTTTCTATGTTATCCGCAAATACAATGCTCTTAGTCCTAATTTCAGCTGGATAGGAGACATTGAGAGTTCTACGTTAAATATCATTCACCCTAAAAAATCAGTTCCACAGGTCAAATTAATCCTTCAGAGGAAGAGTAAGATTATCCTCAAAGACAATTTGGGGCACTTGGCATAACACTGTTATCTTTTTCCCAGAACAGTGCATATCTTCCAAGTGGAGAGTTGTGAAATAAAAGCCATTCACAAGCTCCAATAGATCCCACACCTGATGTGAGTTGCTCTTTCAAAGGAGCCAATACTAGGCATGGGGGATATTAGACCTAGAATGATTCCTCCAAACACAGTTCTCTAATTCTGATTCTAGAAACGAGCAAGATAATTTTTTAGAAAGTTAAAAACAAATATACAAAAATTAACATAAGCAAATAAAACTATCCTAGGAGGCATAACTGAAAGTTTAAATTAATTGGAAATTTTTTTACTCACTGAGTCTAAGATAAACCCAACTAAACTGATTCATTTCCCTTCAAGGAAAGGCTTTGAAAGAATCTCTCATGTCTGATCTTCACAACTCCATTTCTTATTATGAATGCTAGGGAGCTGTCTAGGGCTAGCACTCTGTCTAATAGGGTTCTTAGGACAGAGGCAGATGGTTAAACCTCCCTTACTGATAATAAGATAGAGCCCATTACCTCTTCTGTTAATCTGAATCTGATTAAAGCACCAGAACCTAACCTATTCTAAACCTTTGAATAGCTTCTGCTGTCCTCAGATCATGATCCAAGCCCCTTAACATGACATACAAGGTCCTCTGTCATCTAGTCCATGACTCACCAAGCTCACCTTTTGGCCACTAATGGTATCCATTTCCCTCTCTGGGTTCCAGCAAGAGTTATTATTTCTGGCTTCCTATATACCTCTTGTCTCTGTACCCTTGTCCCACTGCCTACGATGCTTCCTAGTCCCTCTCCTTCTCTCAGTTACATACTTAAGCTCTGGCATAATCTTTCCCAGGAAGAATGACTTCCCATCTTTCCCCCCTGCTTCATACTGGATATAAAAGGGTGAACAAAACTAATGCCATTTTGTGCCCTACCTGTCATATTGACTTCTGTTTAACCTCATTCCTCTTCTTCACTGGCTAATTACACCTTAACGTTAGGGCAAGCTGTAAAATATAGGCCTCAGGCAGTGGATGATTTATTACAGCAGGTGGCATCAGTGGTCTTAGCACTAAAATCCCCTGCCTTATGTGGATCATAAGACACCTGGTAAATGATAACATCAACTTATTTTTCTTAACCTGTTTCATTAAAGTTACTTTTAGTAACAGAGCTTTTGCTATAAAACAACTTTCTCTAAATGCAGAGAGCTAAAGCTCTCATCTGCTAGCGTCTGATTCTTTGTTGCATGCAACTTTCCTGTGTGTTAAGTCACCCCCATTAATAAATATCTTTGTATATCTCTGAATGGACCTGTCCACTTCCTTCTTTGGTCTCAAAGTACTTCTCGATTTGGAAGGCATTATACTTTAACCCCCTCCTTGCACGCTGGATTATGTGTCTGTCCTCTATAGCTCTACAATAATTATACATTCATCATATATCCATCACAGTAATCTATTTTGGTATGATTTTCCCTTGAGGGTCCCTTAACGGCTGGGAATAAGTCTCATTTTTGTATCCCCAGTAGTTAGCTCAGTGTCTGGCATGCTCAAATGTTTCTCAAATAATTATTTAATTACATTTACCTTTATTTCTTCTATATCTGCTTTCTGGAGCTTTTCTCTGAAATGTTTGTCTGTTTCCAGCACATCAATCACTTGCTTGAGATATTCGTCATAATAAAGTCCGGTATCCTTCAAATTAAGAAACAAACAGTAAAGCTTCTGAGAGTTTTTTCTTGTCTGAATCCAAAGATCTCAATACTGAAAAACAATTTCTAATAAAATAGTATTGAGACATATCTACTTTAATAGTTTCGAAGTGAAAAAGTTATATTTCTCAAATACTTTTATATCAGAACCAATATCATGTTTTACTGTTACATAAAGTTAGGTTTCCTATACGGTTTAGATAATGAAGATTTAACCAATAATATTAATCTGTTTCTCCCCATTGTCATCTGTTCTCCTTTGAATATAACACAAGTGTTTTCTTGGCTGGTTATCTCTACATTGGAAATTATTAATTCTTCTATCTACTATCTAATATACTAACTACATTAAATAAACATTGTCTAATGTTTTAACAGTATATGCTTGTTCAATACTTCTTTCATTGCTATTTCAGAAATAGTTCTTAAATGTCCAATTTTATAAGTAGTAAATATTAGCAATATTTTAGTTATAATTCCTCCCATTTCACTTACTGGTGCTTCTATCTTTGCACTTTCCACAGGCTGAATATTTTGTACTTTCGTCTTGTCTATGTCTATAGGCACAGCTTCAAGAGCAGTAAGTACACATGTAACCAAGAGAAAACAATATTGAAGTAGGATGGTCCTCCACCTCATCTGAAATAAAGGAAAAGTTATAGTGAAGTCCTGAAAAGATGTTTTAAAACTATATACATGCATCCCCAATGCCACATTAAAAATATATTTAATCTCAAGAGGTTTAATACAACAAAAAAATTCTAGGAAAGTAGTAAAAATAGGTTACAACTTATCAAAAACAATGCTTAAAACAGATCACTAAAAAAAAATCAGGGAAGAAATGTTTTTCAGTCAAAATTAAAAAGACAGGAAACAAAATTTTAAAATTTGTTGCTTGTATAGTACCAGAAAACATCTGGATAATTACAAAAGTTTCAAATAAAGATGGTATTGAGGGACCCCCAAAAAATTTTTTTTAATAGCTCAAGATTAGGAAAGGAGAAAGTATGAAAAAACTATATTTTTTCTCAATTACAGTACTAGGGAGCCAAAATTATTACTGTATATGTTTTATTCAGCTTCAATCTAATCTTGAAAATAAGTTGCTCTACGAACACCAGTTAACTAAAAGAGACAAATAACTAGCTACAAATATTCTCTTAACTTTATTATTGTATTATAGCCAGTAGTCACTTGTTAAAGATCTTGTTGGTCAATAAGTTTTCAAATAAATAGGTCAATGAAATATCAAATAGGATACTAATGGGGTTGAAACAAAAGAGGAACTGCTACTGTTGGTCTCACAGCATTGTTCAAATTTTGTTTATTCAAACATTTTCCACTCCATAAGGATCTTAGTAGTTTCAGAAGGTTTATGACAAGAATTAGAATGAATAAAAATCTCATATTTAATTGATTTTACACATACAGACTTTTTGGTGGGGTTCAAGACAAAAATAATGGCTTGACAATCAATCTGTAATATGCATTATTTAACTTGGAGTCTCTCAAACTTAGCTGGCCATGGACTTTTTTTTTTTTTTTTTTCCAAGGTAAAATGTTTTTACCCACAGAAAATAATTTGTAAAAGAATACATAACCTCATTTTCACCACAACCATAGGTTATACATAGGGCAGTGACGCATTTTACAAATGAAGAAATAAATAATTAAACCAATTCCTTACAGAGCATTGTTTTGTCATCAACAAAACCACTAAAACTCAAATTTCGGTGCTATTTCCATATCAGTTTTTTTTTTTTTCCAAGGTAAAATGTTTTTACCCACAGAAAATAATTTGTAAAAGAATACATAACCTCATTTTCACCACAACCATAGGTTATACATAGGGCAGTGACGCATTTTACAAATGAAGAAATAAATAATTAAACCAATTCCTTACAGAGCATTGTTTTGTCATCAACAAAACCACTAAAACTCAAATTTCGGTGCTATTTCCATACCAGTTTTTCAGCATCTTTATTAAAATATACTTTACATGCCATAAAATTCACCCATTTAAGGTATAGGATTTGTCTAATCTGTAAAGATTCTACTCAAA